GCTGGCGCTGGTGTTTCACGCCCATGGATAGCCAGGACCTCTGGGGCTCAGAGCTGTGCAGTGACGGCTCAACAAGACCTGTCCAAATCGGCTGGGCCACGTCTTCAAAACACTGTGTCCCCTCCCAAGCCGGCTTCATCAGAGAGTCAGTGGAATGGAGCCCTCACCCAGTGCCGACTTTCACATCCGTCACTGAGGGTCCCCACTTGCCCAGGACCCTCTGAAGCACAGGACTGGGAAGTCAGCAGGCTCGGCACACACAGAATCCACGCTTTGCAGGGGAGGGAACGAAGGCCCCCAGTCAGCTTGGCCTTCCCCCAGCACAGGCACCAATGCCAAAGCTGCCAGGACTCCAGAAATCACCTCTGCAGCCCAGGCTCTCTCAGGTCCACAGCAAAAGTGGGTGGGAAAAAAGTCAACACGTATATTGTGAAATCTGATTTCTTCTGCTCAATTGTCTACAGCATTCAGGAAGGAAGCAGGGAAGGGCCTTTTTAGGAAATGACCAAAGATCTCTGATGAGGAGAGATCAAGGGAGGAAAGCAGAGCTCCTGAGTTCAGTGTCTGACATCAAAACCCAGGGTCACCAACACGTGATGAAAGGCACATGCCAGCAGCCAGCGGCGGGACCTTCCAGTATGTTCCTTGTAGCCAGCCTTCCTTCCTTCCTTCCTTCCTTCCTTCCTTCCTTCCTTCCTTCCCTCCCTCCCTCTCTCCCTCCTTTTGAAATGGAGCCATCAGTCACCTACAGCCCCGGAAGGCTCTGGGCAGAGAGGGGCTAACAGGGACTCCAGGCACCTTCCCAGGAGGCCTCCTCTGGCAACTCCTTTCTCCTCCCAGAGTCATCTCAGGGAAGAAGTACAAGCTTCCGGGAAGTATGAGGAAATGGTTCTTAATGTTTTCAAACCAATATGACTGAGATTTTATGGAACTTTATTTTCTAATACAGAAACTGTAACTTTTTTTCATTGTCAAAATATAGCACTGTGGTATTAGATGTCTTTTTCTAACTTACATCTACCTCCCCCGACCCTGCATCCCAAAACGTCCTCCAACTCCACTTGTGTGGCAGGGGTTTGGGGTAGGAGCAGCCACTAGAAAGGCAAAGGAGCCGGTGGGGAGCCACGCTGATGCCACAGCTCAACCAGAAAGGCACACGCCTGCGGCCAGCAGTGGAACACTCCAGTGTGTTCCTCGTAGACTGCCTGCCTGCCTCCCTCCCTCCTTCCCTCCCTCCCTCCTTCCCTCCCTCTCCTTCCTTCCCTCCCTTCCTCCTTGTTTCCCTCCTTCCCTCCTTTCTTTCCTTCCTTCCACTCTTTCTCCCCTTCCTTCCTCCCTACCTTTTCTCTTTCTTTCTTTCCTTTTCTTTCTTTTCCTCTTTTTCCTTCTCTCACCCTCTCTCTTTCTCTCTCTTCCTTGAGATTGAGTCTGTCACCCAGGCTAGAGTGCACTGGCACGATCTCAACTCACAGCAACCTCTACCTTCTGGGTTCAAGTGACTCTCACACCTCAGCCTCCCAAGTAGCAGAGATTACAGACACATGCCACCACACCCAACTAATCTTTGTAATTATTTTTAGTAGAGATGAGGTTTTGCCATACTGACCAGGCTGGTCTCGAACTCCTGACCTCAAGTAATTTGCCTGCCTCAGCTTCCCAAACTGCTGGGGTTACAGGTGGGAGTTACCACACCCATCCCCTTGTAGTATTTCTTTATGTAGCTTATGTGAATTTAATTTAGACTGATTTTCATGAAGCTACTTTACAAAGGCAATACATATAGTTGGTTGTAATATCTACATTAGATAGGAGACATTTTACCTTCTTCCGTTCATATAGTGATACGGTGTGGCTGTGTCTCCACTCAAATCCCATCTGGAATTCCAGCTCCCATAATTCCCACCTGTTGTGAGAGGGACGCAGTGGAAGATAACTGAGTCATGGAGGTAGTTTCCCCACACTGTTCTCGTGGTAGTAAATAAGTCTCATGAGAGCTGATGGTTTTATAATGGGTTTCTCCTTTCACTTGACTCATTCTCTCTTGTCTGCCACCACATAAGATGTGCCTTTTGCCTCCCACCATGACTGTGAGGCCTTCCCACCCATGTGGAACTGTGAGTCTATTAAACCTCTTTTTCTTTATAAATTATCCAGCCTCAGGCATGTCTTTATCAGCAACGTGAAAACAGACTAATACACATGGAGACCCAGCAAACATTTCCTAAATCAAAGCACCCCTAATGCATGGTGAGGGCCATAAGGGAATGGTCATAAACAGAGCCTACCTAGTCCTGTGACTGGCATTACCTGGGAAGATTAGACCACAATCTGCCCCAAGGACATGCCCTCCCAATCCCATAGAACTGGAACAGAACCTGGGTGCTCAAGGACCCAGAGCCATTTGCTGGGAGCCCATCCTGTACAGCATCCATCAGCCGCCCACTAAGAATGGGTGCCTTGAGTCTCGGGCAGTGAAGATTACCCAGGTTCACAGGTGCTACAGCCCGCCTGTCTGCACATTGTCAAGAATGCCTGTTAGAAGGGTTTGCTGCCTAGAAAATCTGAAGATGGCTTTTGTTTGGGTGGGAAGGAAAGTTCAAAAAGATGAGGCAACTCCATTAAATGGAGTTAGCAGGCACTAAAGCACCCTCCCGGAAGCACCTCGGTGGCTGTGGTCACGTTAGGATTTTCCTGCCAGGAAAGAAATTATTCTTCCCAACTGTGTCTTATCTGATGCTGAAAATAACACAGGACCTTCCTAGAGCCAGAAATCACAGCTGCATGGATAACGGGCCTGCGGACCTCCCGTGACTGCACTGCTGTGGTTTGAGCTTGGTGGGGTACCCAGCTCCAAGTCCTCTTGCTTTGCCATGGTGATGTTTTGCGCCCTGTGTGAAATGGAGGCGCCGGGGGGAAGAGGAAATGGCCAAGGAATTTCATGGCTTCTCAAGATGGAAACTCAGATACCTAACTTTAAAACTTTGAGCTGCTGAGCATGCTTTCCCTAGAAAGAGGACTAAATCAAAGCAAAGATCTTTGATTGCTTCTTGCAGAAAATGGGGATTTAAAAAATTATCTCGGGCCGGGCGCGGTGGCTCAAGCCTGTAATCCCAGCACTTTGGGAGGCCGAGGCGGATGGATCACGAGGTCAAGAGATCAAGACCATCCTGGTCAACATGGTGAAACCCCGTCTCTATTAAAAAAAAAAATACAAAAAATTAGCTGGGCATGGTGGTGCATGCCTGTAATCCCAGCTACTCAGGAAGCTGAGGCAGGAGAATTGCCTGAACCCAGGAGGCGGAGGTTGCGGTGAGCCGAGATCGCGCCATTGCACTCCAGGCTGGGTAACATGAGTGAAACTCCGTCTCAAAAAAAAAAAAAAAAATTATCTCATAATCCATTGGCCCCCTGAGGTTTCTGAAAGTAGCCAACCAGTTGAATTTATTCCTTCCTTATCCTGAATGGCTTGTTCTCAAAGACTTCCTGGAACAAAATATCCGATGCAGGGAGAGTCTCAAAACCCTGCTTCCTGAAATATAACCTGTGTGAAGGCTCCGTGCATAGCAGTGAGTGTCCGTCACCACTGCCAGACCCTGGTCAGGAATGCAAGCTTCCAAGTGACTGCAGATGCCCTGCCTGAGCCCACTGGTGAGTGTGGGGCAGGGCAACGCTCAGGACAGTGTGACTCCTACAGGGCATGCATGTCTGGCCATTGCCTTTGAAGAATGGGATCCAGGGACAGCCTTGTTCTAAGTAATTACTTCTTTGTGGATTTCCCACTTTCATTTTGGAGTCAAATAATTTTTTCCCCAATAACTCCTTTTAGATGGGAATGAAAGAGCATGCATTTAAACACACACACACACACACACACACACACACACACAATTTACTACTGCAACTTTGTTGCTTTGTTCCAGCAACAAGAGAAAATAATTGGATGTTGTCAAAATTAAAACTGGGCCAGCATGGTGGCTCACACTTGTAATCCCAGCATTTTGGGAGGCTGAGGAGAAAGGATCATTTGCAGGAGTTCAAGACCAGCCTGGTTCACATGACAAAACCTCCATCTCTACAAAAATACAAAAATTAGCCGGGCATGGTGGTGCATCCCTATAGTCCCAGCCACTAGGGAGGCTGAAGTGGGGGAATGGCTTGAGCCCAAGAGGCAGAAGTTGCAGTGAGCCAAGATCATGGTAGCTCATGTCTGTAATCCCAGCACTTTGGGAGGCCGAGGCGGTAGATCACGAGGTCAGGAGTTCAAGACCAGCCTGGCCAACATGGTAAAACCCCTCTCTAATAAAAATACAAAAATTAGCTGGGCATAGCGGTGCGTGTCTATAATCCCAGCTACTTGGGAGGCTGAGGCTGGAGAATTGCTTGAACTCAGGAGGTGGAGGTTGCAGTGAGCTGAGATCACACGACTGCACTCCAGCCTGGGTGACAGAGCAATATTCCATCTCAAAAAAAAAAAAAAATTATATGTAGATTAGTAGCTGCTGAGGGCAGGAGGAGGAGGTGAGTGGGGAGAGAGAGACTAATGGGCACAGTGTTTATTTTGGGGGTACTAATGGTGGTGATGATTGCACAGCTGTGTAAATATACTAAAAATCCTTGAATTATTACTTTTTTTTTTGAGACAAGGTCTCACTCTATCACCCAGGCTGGAGTGCAGTGGCGTGATCTCCACTCAATGCAGCCTCCATATCCTGGGCTCAAGCAATCCTCCCACCTCAGCCTCCTGAGTAGCTGGGACTACAGACACATGCCACCATGGCTGGCTAATTTTTTTACTTTTGTAGAGACAGGGATTCACCATGTTGGCCAGGCTGGTCTCGAACTCCTGAGCTCAAGTGATCCACATGCCTCATCCTCCCAAAGTGCTGGGATTATAGGCGTAAGCCACCACACCGGGCCTGAATTATTACTTTAAATGAATGAACTTTAAGGTTTGTAAATAATATCTCAATAGAGCTGTTAAAAAATAAAAGGCAGGAACATGGAAAAACAAAACATAAAATTGACTTAATAAAAACAACACAACACAACACAACACAAACACATGCATTATGGGGAGTCCTGCACACACTGCTGGAAGGGACCCCTGCACATAGCCTCAGGGCTGACATGGACTGGGCAGGAGACTGCTCTCAGCTCCAGGCATTTCCTTCTAACTCATATGGTCGGTTCATATGCCCTTAAATAAAGCCATAAGCACATCAGCTGTTCCTCCCTGAGAGGTTTCTTTTATTGAACAGCAACTTCATCAACCCCCTGAGACATCTATAAACATTTATTTTCATGTAAACACAAAATACTAACCGTTCATCTCAAATAGCACAATGCTCACAGCACACACGTCCCACGTGAAAGAGATTACGTCTGACACCACACACAGGGCATCCTGTAGGCTGCAGACTTAACTCCACTTTTATAGTCTGTGCGGCCTGCACAGAGAGCCCATGTGTAAGGGGCAGGGCGGGGGCCAGGCTTCATGATGTCTTCAGATGAAGCTCTAAACTCTATTTCTGGTCAATTGGACCCTCTGTCTTTGTAATGGGTGCAAGAGAGATGAAAACTCCAGTAGAACACTCCAGAAGAGACTCCTCCAAAAATAAGAGACTTTCCTGAGGCCAGTAACCACACCTCACTTATATCTCCTGTGCCCCTCACACAGCATGTCCCTGAGAAAGCATGCTGAATGTCTGATGTACAACAAAATGGTTGGATGGATGGATGGACGGACAGATGGACAGACAGCTGGGTGCATGGATGAATAAAAGGTCGTGTGTGTCCTTTGACTGCTCAGGGGAACAGCTGATGTATTCCCAGAACTTGGGACTGCTGGTGGTCTCATCAGGCTCCAGGAGGGCCTTTATTACATCCCTAAAAAGGTAAAACCCTGTTCCTCTGTCAATATGTCCAAAATCCAGCAGCAAAAGAAGAGAGGAAAGGTGTGGCTCTCACTCTCAAGGTGACCTGTCACCCTTCATTCCCCACAGTTTCTGAGGGCCAGCTCTGAGGTAGCACTGGAAATGTGAGAGGTAATCAGGCAGCCCAGGGCTGACCCTGCGGCTGATCTCCAACAGCAAGGAGCAGAGGTAGCAGGGCCCCTGGTAGCAGGCCCCTGGCTTCTACAAAGTCAGTCATGAGCACAGGTGGGTTTGGGGATGTCCTCGGCAATGGGATCAGATCTGCCTTTGCCCAAAAGCAGGGGCAAGAACTTGGGTCATCTGCCTCAAAATGTCCTGACCAGCTTTCTCTGGGAAAAAATCCTACTGAAATCAGCGAGGCTGGGCCAGTTGCAGAGAAAGCACCGCCCTAGCTCTAGGGGAGCAGGCTCTGGGTTCCCTAAAGGAAACTGGACTTGCGCCCCACCCTTGTGGAGGGCTGGCGGCCCTGGGACAGCTCTGCCTAGCCTGTGGGCGCTGGGGCCTGAGAGCAGGTCCTTGTCTCTGCATTCCCAGAGTGACGGGCGCAAGCCACCAAACAGGGCTCCATCAGCATTTGAGAAGAGGGAAGCCAATGTCACATCTGAGCCAGGTTGTCATTTTTAGTTACTTTTACTACCACAAGCCTTTCTGCTTAAGGCTACCAATCTGCTAGAAGCACCATCTGCCCAAATTCCTGCCAATGCTTCCCAGCTAAGCTGATGGCTGAAGGCTGTGCAGAGCCCTCTCTGAGCACCTCCTGTATACCAGCCCAGAAGGAAGCTCCAGGCCTGCCGTAGACACCATCCAGCCCCTGCCCCTGCCCTCAAGGCACTTCTGATGTGGCTGAAGCCTCCCTGGAAAGGACATGTGTCTCCCTGGAAACCTCTTTGGTGTCTGTGATCTCACAGCAATGGCAGGGCTGGCATACACAAAACCGCAATAGGTTTCCGCAGCCTAGATGAAATGGGTGTGGCCCCTTCCGGAGCGTCTTTAAACTTCTAAAAGGAAAGAGGTACTTTCAGTAAAACATCCCTGTGGTTCCAGTGAAGTCCCACCAATTTATCCTGAGAAACAGAAACCATATTAGGTTTAACAAGTCAGCTGCTGAAATTTGTAGGAACTGTCAGCCATTAACTTGGGGAACTATCTCCCTGCTGTTGCATAGTGTCGTACACTGAGCGCAGCACGTTCGCAGGCGTTCTAGAGCCTGAGCCTACCTCAGAGGTAACTGGAGTCCACGGGGTCATCTGCCCATCAAAGATCCCCAGGAAAGGTGCGTTCCAGTCACACAAGTCTCAGATCTGAATCCTGGGAGCCCAGGCAGGCCTCTGGACCTGGCCCAGATGGGCATCCTGGGCATCCGGAGGCATCAGGGACTGGGCCTTGCAAGCTTGCCCTGTGGCTGCCCCACCAGCCCCATGTCCTCCTCCTCCGCTCCACGGTCTGGATCATTCTTTGTGTGTTCCAACTCTTCTCCACGCGTCCTCTCCTAAAGTCAGAAAAGAATCCACAGACATTAAATACGGTAATGGGGTCATCCCGCACAGTCTGGGGCTGGACGTTCAGGATGTGCAGGTGTCCAAGCCTGGCTTCTGCCTGCACTTCCTGCTGAGAATCAGAACAGGCCAGGTTCATACACCCTAGCCAACCACGGGGAAATCATGTTTTGTGCATAAGAGCACAGATTTACTGAAAGGAACTGAAGCCCAGCCCAGCCCGGGGAGACCAGAGAAAGAGCAGGGAAGAAAGCACTGCTTTCAAAGCTGGCACCCCGCGCTCAATGTGCAGCCTTCCCCAGGCCCACACTCATGGGCGTTACAGTACCCTGGACACCTCTGCTCCCACTAACAGAGATTTAAAAGGAAAGTCAAGGATCCACGGAAAAGACCAAGTACAATGCTCTCTGTTCGGTGCCTGTTGGGTCTTAGGTTAGCCCGTCTTTACAAGGTAAACCAAAGAAAATGAAAGCTCTCATCTGCCAGACGGCTAGAGCTCATGTCAGACGGGAAGCAGGTTTCTAAAACAATCCAGCACTTACTGAGATATTTTATTATTTCATTGCTGAATCTTCTGTTTCAGGGCAATGTGTTTTCCAAAATAAGCAGTATTTGTCCATGACGTACAAGTATACGTTTTGGAGTTTAAAGTAATTTTGGACTCTTTAGGAATTTGAGAGCAAAGACCCTTTAGCACCAGAGAGTGAATATTTTCACAATATCCTGTATGGGCAAGAGTCTGGTTTGGCCACAGGAAAACCTAAAATCTTATAAAATACTGATTGACAACAAGCAATGAAGAAATATTCAGTAAGCATCCTCCCTTAAGATTCTATTCTACAGTAACTCCGGATTATACAAAAAGCTGATACCTAATTCCAACTCCATCGCAGCAATCTGAGCTTTCGCAGTGGAGGAGGAAAGAAAGACAAATTTGTCTTGCTTTTTGTTCTGCTTGACAGACACTGGTCCATGGCAGAATTTGAAATTCAGATTTTTCAATATTTCCTTAACGATGCAAGGTTACGGCCAATTCCCATGTGTTCTCTGTTCCATTTTGGTTTCGTTAGAGCTTGTCTAGTTTAGAGGAGAGAACCATAAAAAGTTTAATTACAAAGGCTCTCCTCGCAACACCCGCTCCCAAAACAGCCCGGAGATTCTGAGCACAGATCAAGGCCCACTGCCACGAGAAGTCATCTAGAAAGCTGCCTTGCAGGTTCAGACCACAGCTTCCCTAAACAAGGACAGCAGGGTTACTAAGAAAGCAAGAAGTTCGTGGGGTGATACAGTATCACCATACCTTGCTGCTGTCTCCAGGGGCAGACTGTCTGGGTCTGTCATTCCAAGAAGTCCTCGCATGACGGCTGACGTCCTCCTCCTCGGAATTTCCTGGGTGTGCTGCCCTCCCCAAGAAAAAGAAAGAGGATGAGCAAATGGGGGTGGCTCCCAAGGGGCTGGGCAGTCAAAAC